CAGCTAAGTGTCTCTGGCGCGAAAATATAAAAATTCAAAATACCAGAATAAAAATTACAAAATTTGGATCGTTTTCCAAGTGAATTCTAATGATCTAACGTCTCCCACATGATCTAAACTCGAAAGATTTATGATTTCAGTGAAATTCAACAAGCTTCACGATCCGATATTGTTGTTAGCGATGTAGTACATAAAACATATCTTTAATGATCACAGTTATCAGACAATATCAACAAAGTGAGACAAATTTATCAAAACAAATGTTACATTAGTATACTTAGTATCAGTATGAAAGGTGTAGGCATAGGAAAGTGTTAGGATATTCATCCAATATCCTAAGAGAATTATTGGTCAATCCCTCCCTATTGGTCAAAATTATGGTCGTTTTAACTGTGAAAGTCAAATACTTCAATGTTGTCTCTTATTGGTCATCCGAACCGTCAATGTCATTTCAAATGTTACTTCCTATTGGTCGTCTTAACTGTCAATGTCACAGAATTCGATGCTGTTTCCTATTCGACCAAAATGTATAAATACGCATTATCTGTAACGTTTTATGACCACAACCAGGACCAGGGCTCGGTCCCGGATCCCTAGTCCGGAATCCTGATTCTCTTCTGGACTCGGACCTCGTACTTTCTGGATGCTTGTAGAATACAGGTTCTACTTCATATCACGTCTTCTTATTTTCACTCAATATGGGGGTTGGGATAATCGGATTTGAGTAGCATGTCGTGTCGCCGGATCCTCGATCTTGTTTTTCCGACTAGGTAAACTCCTAATAGTTCAAGTATATCCAGTTGACGTGTTTACGTGCAGGCGTAACAGAAAGATTAGGCATAGTATACATAAGATTCGAGAAGGAAGCATCGATTCACAGGGTAAATAAAGTCTATATATAATCTGATGAACGAAAACAAAGAGTGTCCATGCATCCGGTGCAACCAATGATCACAGCAGTTAGGCACCACCACTGAGTACAACAATACCAAACATTCTAACCAACATGGCTCACACATGATTAATAAACAAAAAACAACTCACTTTCATTGATACTACTTACCTAAATTAGTTGATTGACGTAATTCACTGGGTACATCTACACCAGTAATTTTATGTATAACAAAAGCAGCAATACGTAGAAATGGTAAACAATTAGCACGTAGAAATAAACCTAATGATTGAGCCATCATTTGTGGATCCTGATTATTATTACTGATGTCATTGTTAGACGAATTCCACGCACTAAGACCGCATAGATCACGTAGTAAACGCCAGACATCAAGTAACTGGATGAGGGAAAAAAAACCCATGGACATAATATAAATAGCAGTAAACAGTGGATACACATTACTAACTAAATAATAATATACTAATAACTACATGAAACAATGTTTAAAACAGGTTAGTACAAAAGTTGTTACAAATTACGTGAAGCAGAAATAGTACGATGTACCCAACCCTAACTGCGCTTCCTTGACGTGATGGAAGGGCTTTCTAACCATCATGAACTAATCGAGCTCTATTGGCGGGTCGACTGGAGAACGATGAAACTAAAACCAGCGACTCCAGGTTTGAGGGTGAAGTCGTACTGCTCACTGGAGAGAGGTGTTTCTCTTGGGCAACCAACATCTGCAGAGATGCTACCTTCTCATAACTGAAGGAAGAGGTTAGAGTGGTCGACTGTAGGAATGTTACACTTCGTCTTGCGGCATGGATTTCCGTCTCTGATGGCAAAGCCATTTGAAGAACGAAGCTAACACTTTTCAAACTTCCCAGAAAAAAAAACGCCGTTTGTGACCGGTCGGAATCAGTTATCCCTTGGGCTTTGTAGTCACACTCCCAAGGCGCTAGGACCAATGCTAATCCAACTTCTTTGTCAAGAACCTCAAGAAGAAGAACATTTTAACGGTGTGGACAGCCGGGAAGTGACAACCGCCATCAGATCTAAATATGTATGAGCTACACGAATTATTGCATTTGTGAGTTGGGATGAGATACTGCTCAAGGTGCCCACACCGATGCAGGTAATTTTCCAAGCCTTTCTACCGACAGATCAAGTTCACAAAGTATTGAATGGAACAACGTCGACAGATGAGTCAGTCACATAGTAGCCGGCGATAAACAACAGGTGTTGATACGCCAATTGTTTCATCAGAATACTGAAGCATATGAACACCATTGGTCTCTCTTTAGAATGCTTTTATACTACAGTCAGTTTTTAATTCTGATTCAAAAAAGACACTTATTCATCAGTTTCATGAAGTAATAATCAAGTGTTGCGTGCATTACACATGAGAAAAACAAAGAGTGAACGTGAAATCGCAGCATTTAAATAAGGTTTATGTACAAGAAAATGACACCCAAACCTACTTTATTCATTTGAGATTTATAGTATTACTTCAAGATAAACATCTTGTTAAGATATTTATCTAATATCCTAAGAGAATTATTGGTCAATTCCTATTGGTTAGTTTCTACTGGTTGTCTTTGATATCAATGTCACGTACTTCAATGTTCTTTCTTATTGGTCGTCTCAACTGTCAATGTCATAGACTTCGATGCCGTTTCATATTCGACGCAAATGTATAAATACGAATTATCTTTACCGTTTTATGACCCGAACCCAATCCGGATCCTGATTCTCTTCTGGACTCAGACCTCGTACTTTCTGGATGCTTGTAGAATACACGTTCTACTTCATATCAAGTCTTCTTCTTTTATTCAATGTTGGTTGGGACAGTTGGATTAGAGTAGCATGTCGTGTCGCCGGATCCTCGATCCTCGTTTTCATTTTCCGACTAAGGTAAACTCATAATAGTTCAAGCATATCAAAGTGACATGTTTACATACATGCGTAACACATCTCTAAAATATATTGATCCACCCTAATATAGATTTTAGCAAACGTAAACTATATTATCACATTCTGAAAAGCACTTAAATGCGTCACCAGATAAGTCCTCTCTTTGAATCCTCGAGGTCAACAGAAAAGAGGAAAATCAAAGACTATATTGCACCGAGAAATGGAGACAAACGTGATAAGAATGAAAAGCAGTTGTATGGAATTGGTGAATACTGGTCCTTTGGAATCTGGTCTGTTTTCTCCCACAGTATGTTGCTGCTGATGGTGTCTGGCCAACGAATCCGAAGTATTTTATGAAAACAACTGTTCATAAATACTTGTATCTTCTGGATGATGGCTTTCGTAGTTCTCCATACAGTCTAACTGCCCTCACATTTGCATCGGAGCCACCTTGGGTGTCGATGATGCTGCCAAGATATGTAAAGGCGTTAATGTCCTCCAAGGCATCTTGATCAAGAGTGATTTGGTTGGTGCATGTTGTGTTGCATCGGAGAACTCCGCTTTTTCCTTTATGTATGTTGAGACCTACTGCTGCTGCTGAGGCTGCTGCTACACTGGTCGTCTTCTCTTGCATTTGTTGTTGCGTGTGCGATAGAAGAGCCAGGTCATCTGCGAAGTCCAAATCGTCCAGCTGCGTCCTAGCTGTCCACTGAACACCGTGCTGCTCTCCAGATGTTGACGTCTTCATAATCCAGTCGATCACCAGGAGAAAGAGAAAGGGTGAGAGTAAGCAACTTTGTCTGACAATGGTCTTCACTTCGAGCGAGTTTATGAGCTGTCGTCTGTGCAGTTGAATCCATCATAAGAATTCTGTATGATGTTGACTATCTTCTCAGGCACGCCGTAGTGTCGAAAAAGCCCCCATGGTGTTATCCTGTCCACGTTATCGAATGCCTTCTCGTAGTCGATGAAGTTGATGTAGAGTGATGAGTTGTTCCATTCAATTGATTGTTCCACAATGATCCGTGATGTTGCAATTTGATTGGTACACGATCGATCCTTACGAAATCCAGCCTGTTGATCTCGAAGTTGTGCGTTTACGAAGTCTTTCATTCCCTATACTGGATTATATTCTTAAATTTCATAATCCACTATAATAATAATAATAATAATGATATTACGGTATAATAAACAAAAATGCAAATCCGAATTCCACTCACCTCCGGTAAATTCCAATGTGCTGATTTCACATAATTATCATTCCATGTGCAGGATTGTGGCAAAAGTTGATGCTTTTTTAAATAATTCAAACAATCCATTCTTGGTTGCCATGCTATCAACGATTGGACTAATAATGCAGCATAACATAAACGCAACAAATGTGTTTCATGACTATCACCAATTGGTAAACGTAATCGACCTTCATCACATGCTAATAAATAAGCACCTAATGAAGCAGTACCCGATTCTTGACTAATATCTGCATTAGCTACATTAGCTAAACGTGTACATTGACATTGATTGACAGTGAATTCTTCTAAGCCTGGACGTAAATGTAACAGACTAATGAATAATGATGTAATATCCACCTGATAATGAAAGAAACGACAATAACAATAACAAAAAAAAATTAAATAACAGTAAGAATCATTAAACAAATAATTAATTCATTCTGAATGAATTGAACAGGTTTGTGTTTTATGTTGAAATCATGAAATCATGAATGAATCATTATTTTGGGGCAGAGTTTTGGAGGTTTGTGTTTTTACACATTTGAAATCATCAAACAATCATTGTTAGACTACCATTAGAAACCTGGAAGCACTGGACGGTCGTTTCATCCTAGTATGGGACTCATCCGCAGTGCTCACCCACGACTCCTGCTCCTCACAGGATTCGAAAACAGGACCTTCGGTAGTGTGAGCGAACGCCTGACCATCGAACCACTGGGCCGGCATTGAATGGTGTTAATGTCTAACATTGATTGATCTAGGGATTTTGCGTCACCTCATCCATTTGTCTTTGGTAGTTACTGCCTACACCCGACAGGGTTGAACCGCTGGATGCCGGCCCAGTGGTCCAGTGGTTAGGCGTTTGCGCGCTATACCGAAGGTCCCGGATTCGAATCCTTCGAGGTGCAGGAGTCATGTATGCGCGCTGCTGATGAGTCCTATACCAAGACGAAACGGTGGCGGTGGTAGAAGCACTGAAAAATAGCCCTGTCATCCTGGTATGGAACTCAGCATCAGCAATACGCATCCACAACCCCTGCTACTCGCGGGATTCCAACCAAAGACTTTCGGTCTTACAACTGAACGTCTAACTTCCCGACCACTGAGAAGACATCCAACGGTGTTAATAACTACGGATTTCGCACAACCTCACCCCATTGTCGTCGGTAGTTACTGTCTACACTCTACATAGTTGAACCGCACTGGTCACGTCTGCTCACTAGATCTCCGACAATTTCCTCATGGGGCATATCACTAGTGTGCATATTTTTATGACTGCATTAAAGTATTATGGACAGCTGTGTGTTTATGCGTTCGCGCGCAAGACCAAAGGTCCTGGGCCCATGAACGATAAGCTGTAGGTCATGTGGAGGCAATCGGAACACTTTACTTGACTACCTCAACATTTTGTAAAAACCACTGAAAGCTCCATGAGCAAATCATTCAGCTCACAGAACGTAACTTCACTATAAAATAGGGGTATTATCAATTTCTACGGAACACATAAATTGAGATTATATAGGCTCAGATTTCCTATAGTCAGTCAGCTACAACGTACATCAACTAAAGTTGTCATACCACACATTCGCACAGAGAGATGGAATCGTCAATTCAAATCCTACAGTTGTATGGGTAGTAAAAATATTGGCGGTAATTAAAAACATTAGTGATCGAAGGTATCCTTCAAGAAGTATATTTCAAAGGAATCAATTTAAAAATAAAAACAGAGAGAGAGAGAGAGAGGAAAAAACCGGTCATGAGGAATTCAGATGATTAGTTAGGATTCGAGAGGACGCAAAGAATGGATGCACCTGTGCTATTGAAAACGAATTTGAACCATATCATTCAAGTTTCTAAAACCATCGGTTACTATCACATCTCGTGAACCCCAACACCAAGTAGTCAACAGCTTCCAAAACATGATTCAGTTCACTTGTCAATCACTTCATTCTCTAGTGCTATATTTTGGTTCGGCTGCCCCTAGTTTTCTTTCAACCTACTCTTCCTCCTGAACACAAAAAACATCGATTGTCCGGGCAGTCAGTGGTTAGTTGAGCATACACTACACATGTTCGTACTACTTCATCTATTGATGAACTTGTACTGTACACTAGAGAGCGAATAAGCGACTGAAGCGAATCGTATGGAGCGATGTGGAAAATTGTGATGGCCTATTTCTGTGTGTTATCGAAGGAAGCGAAGTGGAGAAGGCTAGTGAGCCAACTCCTAGGATTACAATGCGAACGAATGGGCGAAGGAAGCGAATGAACAGGCGAAGCGCGTTGGAGAAGGCTAATGAGCCAACTCAAAGAGATAGAGCATGACTAAGAATATATAGTCAGACAAATATAAGACAGACATGTGACAAGCGAAATAGGCACACATGAATAAAAGCGACGAATAGTTGACAAGGTCAAATGACAAGTGGGACACGTCATGTGAGCTCGTCATACAAACCAGACGATAATAATAAGAACGAATGGTACAACATATAAACTGTTGTAATACAAATAAATAGTTTGGTTAAATAAATTAATCGAAAGGGCTTAACCAGATTAGATGTAAGCGAACTGGATTATATGTGGAGGCACTTCTGTGGTGCGAGCTACTTATAAGTAGTATATGACGTGAGTGTCAACGTAATGTCTGGCAGAAGAAGATGGGCAAAGATCAAGAAAGGAAGAGTTAGAACACAATGGAATTTGTGTGAAACGCATGAATAGTGACAATGGATTGATGTTTTGCAACAGGAACAGTCCAGTTCTATATGATGAACTGATATTTTGCAAATTAACAATTTACGATATGGTTTTCCAATTTTATTGAGCAACTCTGTAATTGTCTATAAATACAATTCGGTTGCCCCACCTGTGTTCTTCACTACGCTACAATCTTGTCATCTTTACCTAATCCGTTACATAACTGCATTGATTTTTCATAGTCAGATATATTAGAAGAGAAAAACAAACAAAAAGAAACACGTGCATCAACAACTTACATCCCAAAGTAGACTAGTAGTAGTAGTAGTCGGTTGATTGATTGCATTCATGGAATAAGTTGACGCAGGCATTGAAGTATTTGAATTCGTTTGTTGTTGCTGTGATTGTTCTGATACGTTGCTGGTTAGCGCATCTGATTTATAATTCTCTAATGGTGGCAGTAATAAACGCCACAAGAAACGTGCATCTTCTGTTGCGGCTATCGAAACAGCTGTTTCGGCGATATTGATTATAGTGGATGGATTATTCAGACGACAATCAGGTAGAACTGAAATTACAAACAAAATGTGTTCAATGTTCAATGTTCAATAAGAATTTGTTTCAAAAACGGATAGAATATTCAGAATATAATAAAGTAAAACTATCTCTCTCTCTCTCTCTCTCTCTAGTGTATTTTATTCCAGTTAGTTTTGTATTGAATTTAGGGAATTTAGTAAAATGTTTGTTGTTGAATAATTAAAATTGATTTCTCCAAACACCTTATATGATTTTTGGGTGGTATAGGAGTAGGTTGGAAGAAAGTTAGGGGCGTCCAAATCAAAACATGGCAGAAATCCATGAAGTCAATGACAAGTGGACTGAGTCATGTTGGTAGATGTAGGCTATCTGGTTGGGGTCCGCGAGACGAAAGTCACCAATGGTTAGAGACCTTGAACGATATGGCTCAAAATCGTTTGCAATGGCCCCGGTGCATCCATTCGTTGTGCTCTCTCAAATCCTAATTTTCTGGATTCGTCAGCACCTCTACCCCTTTGTCTTTCTGACCTTATCTCATTGAATTATACTTCTTGAATATAAATATCTTCAAACCCTAGTCTTCTTCATTATCATTAATACCTCTACTATGTTTATCACTATGGGATTTGATTTGACATTTGCGTCTCTGTGCTAATGTGGTATGGCAACATGAACTTATGTACATACGTACGAAGTTCTACGTTGCAACTGACTGACTGATTGCACTGGGTTACATCAATGTGTGTGTGTATTGAAATAAGTTCAAGTACTGCTCATGTAGTGCAAATTACCTAAGTTGCACACAGAGAGAGCTTATTCCAAATGCATCTTTGAAAACTATCCGATATGACTGTCTATATTCTATGGACAGTTTAATATTAGAACACCATGTGGTCAGTATCGTTCGCTTCATATATGGCTAATTACAGACTGATCAATTGTAATTCTAACTACAAACGGGAAGATTCAAACATACCATTGCACAAGTGAGTGGCTCACTGGACTCAGTAGCTAAGTGGATAATACGATGGCGTTTTGAAGTATAAGTCTCGGAGTAAGTGTCAATTAAGAGATGCAAGTACATATCCGGCTGACGAATCCCATTTAGGATTAAAAACACGAGTCCTGGATTCTACTGCTAGCCACTACTCTACATTGATTATGACTGCCGAAGCAATCAGCTCAAGTTGTACGTACATATGCCAAAAGAGTCTGATCAATGATAGGTAGTCTTAAATATCAATAAGAAGATTTGAACAACCAAATATACACATAAATTAAATCGATTTAAGTCACAATTTACAAATTGGTTTGATGTTGACTTGGATAAGTTTAGAGAGTGGTAATTGATGTCGTCAGTCAGTCAGTTGCAACGTAAGAACTTCGTACATATGTACATCAGCTCTTAAAAAAAACAATGAACAAGATAGATCTGATGCAGATATGAAGGCGCAGATTGACAAAGTAAAGTCAGCAGTTCTACAATTAAAGAACATTTACAACTCAAAACAACTGCCAACCAACACCAAAATCAGAATTTTCAAAACAAATATCAAGACATTTCTACTGTATGTGGTGGAGACTTGGAGAACCACGTAAGCCATCATCCAAAAGGTACAAGTGTTCCTTAACAGTTGCCTACGCAAAATACTTCAGGTCCGCTGGCCAGACAGCATCAGCAATAACCTAGTGTGGGTAAGAACTAACCAGACTCCAGCGGAGGAGGAAATCAGGAAGAAGCGCTGAAAGTGGATAAGACACACATTAAGGAAAGTACCTAACTGAGTCACAAAACAAGCTCTCACTTGGGATTCTGAAGGTCAAAGGAAAAGAGGAACTCCACAAACACATTACGCCAATCGATGGAGACAGACATGAGACGAGTGAACAACAATTGGACAGAACTAGATACGAGGAAGGCGGAAGACCGAGTAGGTTGATCCGTGGCCTATGCTCCACTGCGGGGGAGATAACAGCTCAAAAAAACAAACAATCGATAATCAAACCGAACTTACCATCTTTCAATTGTGAATTAGGTACAACATCAAATGGTACACAATACGACCACCACCACCAATGAATCGGGTGAGTTTTCAATTGTGACCAACATAATCGATGCCCGGTGGTTGTTGTTGTTGTCTTGCCATCATCATTTGCAGCAGCATCACATGACAATGAACAACCACGTGAAACAACAGCATGACGTGATGTGCTGTCAATGAAGTTCTTAACAAATGTCCCAGTCCATGCAGGCGTCGTTCAGCTAAGCCACCATTAAAGAAATGCTCATAACAACCATGTAATCTTAAAGCCTAAAAAAAGAAAATATATATTTTTTCAAAAAATATACAATACCAAGTAAGCATAGTTAAAAATGTTACAGGATCCAGTTGGCGAATGTGGGATGAAGCCAATGTATCAGGGAGTATATATTGATATAGCTACTTGTGTGGTGCGCACTACTTATAAATAGTATATGACGCGTGTGTAAACGTAATGTCTGGCAGCAGCAGAAGATTGGGGAAAATCAAGAGAAAGGAAGAGTGGGAACACAATGGAATTTGTATGAAACGCATGAATAGTGAGTGAAATGTCAGACAATGGATTGATGATGGATTGAAGATTTGCAAATTAACGATTTACACGATATGGTTTTCCTATTTTACTGAATAACTCTGTAATTTTCGTTAAATACAACTCGGTTGCCCTCACCTGTGTTCTCCTTCACTACACTTGATGATCATTGAGAAATGTCCTAAGGAGTGAATGAATATCATTGGCAATGAAATGGATTGATTTTCTAAGGTGAAGAGGAATGCATCTATCTGAGTATTTGTAAATACGATTCGATAGCCATATAAACTATTTCTTTTGCTGTTGATTTCTAGCCCAAAGAGGTTTTTTGGCGGGGTGGATGCGGTTAGTAAGTATCACGTTCAGATCACGGACATCGCCCATCATCATATAGACTACCAGGTTTTGTAACATCAAAGAGAGAGAGAGAGAAAGCGATTCAGAGACTCTGTTTATAAATACTCTGAAGAACCAGTTCTGCTGCTGTAAATAAACTGATTGTTTTTTAAAAAACTTTCCCTAAGTCTTCAAAGCAATCTATCACGGAACACTTTTTCGACTATATTCTCTACGTAGATATTAGATTCGGACAGTCAGTCACTTACAACGTAGAACTTCGTACGTACGTGCGTACATGAGTTCAGGCTGCTATTCCGCATTAGCACAGACACGTGGGTGGAAGTATTAACAGTAATGGAGATTAGGCTACGAAGATATGATTCAGTGAAATAAATTTAGAAAGCGAAAGACAGAGATGATAAGGAATTCAGCAGGTTAGAATTTGAGAGAACACAAACAGTGGACGCACCTGCACCACTGAAAACGAATTTGAGTTATTTCATTCGAGGTCTCTCAACATTGATTACAATCATCTTGCGAGCCCCAACCAGCTAGTCGACACCTACCAAGATGTCTCAGTTCAGCTGTCTAATAGAACGAATAGCGTATGAAACTTACTGTAGGTTATCATTCAACTCTACATCGCTTGAAGTTGTAGTGAACGAGAACACAGGTGGGGCAACCGGATTGTATTGAACGAAAATTACAGTTACTCAGTAAAATCGGAAAACCATATCGTAAATCATTAATGTGCAAAATATCAGTCCATCATATTGAACTGGACTGTTCCTGTTGCAAAACATCAATCCATTGTCACTATTCATGCGTTTCATACAAATTCCATTGTGTTCTAACTCTTCCTTTCTTGATCTTCCACCATCTTCTGCTGCCAGACATTACGTTGACACTCACGTCATATACTACTTATAAGTAGCTCACACCACAAAGTTGCTTCATTGGCGTTTTAATTCAAATCGTCATAGTCTTGTGACTGACTCATGAGAAAACTAACTGATTCGGTGCCCCCCTTTCGTACTAATATTTATGTACGTCTTTCACTAAATCAGTCATAAGTTTTCATGTAGATGATATACGTTAACACCGAGAAATGAACAACATACGGATGCATACATCTATATATATAAACGAAAGAACTTACACGTTCAGAACCAATCAATGTATACGCTACACTATGTCGTAATGATCGCCATTCACATGCAGCTGACCATATTACATTACGTGCACGTTGTGCAATACGTTCTAAATAATGCTTTGTAGAATTAAATGAATTCATAATATATCTCTGATTAATATCATCATCTACACCGGTTGTTGTTGTTGTTACTGATGATGATGTTGCTGCTTGTGATGATGATGCTGCTGATGATGATGCTGACGTTGTAGTTGTATGCGATGACGTCTTTTTCTTCACTGGACGATGAGATGACAACTGTGATTTAGGACAATTTGTTGTTGTTGTCGCTGCAGTGGTTGCAGGGGTTGTCGTCGCTGCATTCATCGTCGTCGTCGCGGACGTCACTGTTGTCGTCACATTCTGTGGTATCAATGAATTCAATGTACGTAAACGTTCATAAAAACTCATAAAATCTAAATGAAACAATTCGATTGCTTCAGAAAGATTTAAATTTGCATTGAACAAAACAGATTGTTTGCTCAAAGATGTTGATGATGAATTCATTGTTAAATTATGATGTTGATGATGATGAGTTGTGGTTGTTGAAGGTGGCGAATCGAATTCTGTCTGAGTCATTAAAACTTGTATATTTGAAGTGGACAATGTTGAGGCAGTCGATTGAATTGGTGTGTCAGTAACAACAAATGCTACCACTTGATCAGTAGCAACAGCAGCACCATCTTGATCCTCGTCGCCGTCATCACCATCGTCGTCGTCATCATCATCATCTTGTTCTTCATTGATATCATTTGGTAAAGGAACAATTGTCGGTGTATTATTCACTTATGGGAAGACAAAAAAAACACATAAATAAATCGATAAATCAATACTGAATCATATACAATCGATTTGATAGAGTAGGGAAAAAATCAATATATATATATATATATATATATATATATATATATATATACATATACATGTATATATCGAACAACCACCACAACCTGAACTAGTGATAGGCATTGAAGTAGTTGAGAGTTTTGACCGCTTCACTTATCTTCGAGGACTCATTTAGGGTGATGGCCTGGTGTCTGATGATATCTTACTTAGCACGGATACAGAAGGCTCAACTGTCTTTTACCAACTTACGTCACTACCAGCATGTACATGAGATATCTGTCTGCTAAACTAAAGGACAAGTTTACTGCATAACAATTTGCTGTGTTCTACTTTATGGGTGCGTGGAACACGGACACTAAGATTAGAAGATATTCGACGGTTTTCAGTATACGATTATAGATATCTTCGTATATCCTAGGACAACCGAGTAAGCAATACAGTCGTTAAGAAACGAGTACTAAGTAGGGATGGCAAGCCAACTGAAGAAGTATTGCAACTTCATCAACTAAGGTGCATGAGACATGTGTTACGCTTACACAACCATCATCATCAACAGCAGCGTCGAACTTTGCATCATAAGTTCAAGTTGTCATACCGAGAGAGTTACTAAGAGGTTTAGAAGGGATTTGATTATGACCAATTTGGTCTCGCGTGTTATTATGGGTATGAGGGCGGATGTTACTTCCCAACTACGCACATAACCACTGATTGCCTTTGTGAGTGATACTGTCTGACGCAGGAGCAGGCTAGAAAAAAGCTAAGGGAGTGGAGTGGCCAAACCAAAACATGGCACAAATCCATGGAGTCATTGACAGTTGGACGGAGCGATGTTTGCAAGTGTACACTGCCACGTCGGGGTCCACAAGACAACAGTAATCGATGGTTAGAGACTTTGATTAACATGACTCAAAATCGTTTGAAATGGCGCAAGTGCACCTATTTTTTGTTTTCTCCCAAATTCTAATCTTTTAAATACTTCATTACCTATTTTTCTGTTTTTAAGTTGATTACACTGTGATATACTTCGCGAACGATATCTTCGATCCCTGATTTTTTTCGATTACCGCTAATACTTCTACTACTATGGGATTTGAATTGACAACTGCATATCTGTGTTAATGTGGTTTGGCAACTTGAGCTCATGTACATACATAGCTGACTAACTGGCTGACTATACGTAATCAGGCATAAGCAGTTGCTTTACTTTGAACTTAAGAAGGGGCCACGCTCTCAAGTTGTCATTACTATTTCACTTTGTCCCTCCTTTATATATATATTTCAAGAGAATGTATCATCCATCCATGGTATGAACAATCGGAAAGTAACACCCACCAAGCAAACTAGCTATTTTCTAATAAAATTTGAGATCACCTATTGTAACTGATTCGTGCGAAACTACCATAGAATACTTTTCACGATCACAATATGTTAATCGTTTACAGAATGATCGGATCAGTCAACGGAATAATATACGTGCTTTTGTATGTGCGGTTGAGATTTGTATAAACAAGCTTGTATTCAAACTGAATAGTAGTCAGCAATGTAGTGTTTGTTTGATTATGAGTACTGTCCAAAAGTGTTGGGGATGTTAGATCCTCAAAACCTGCTTGTTAAATGCCTTAATTTGGATTCTACGTTTGCCAGCATGGGCTGATCAGATGACCTTGAGATTTCAAATCCCACCAGGAAAATCCATGGTTGTGATTGGCTGCTGTGTGTGTATTTTAGTGTGCTATTTTCTTAACTGTCCAAAAGGACGTTTCTATGATGTATAAATAAACGAGAGTTGTATGCTTGATTGTATTGTGTGATTGCTGGGTGTTTGTTGTAGAATATACTTTCTACGCTTACAAAGCCTTTTTACTTCAGCCTGGGGATTCAAGGTAGCCTATATGGACGCTGGTTAAAGTGTCGCTCGCGTTTATCGACTAAGGTAAACTCGTGATAGCCTAAAGCATACTTAGTGACGAATCCAATAAGAAGTGTATATTGATTTAGTTTGTAACTATAGAATGAAATCACCGAACTCTATTTAAATAATAACACACAAACATTGTTCAATTCATAATGATGATGATGATGATTAACTTACCAACTACTTCAGCAGTGGCAGTAGCAGTAGCAGTCGCGGTAGTCGTAGTCGTCGTAGTAGTACGTCGTCCGATTGGACGTTGAACAAGTGTATCCACTGATTTCGGTTGACATAAACTAGCTAAACGTTGTACTAAAGCAAATAAATTCGTTGTAACCAATGGAGATGAAGATTGTGGCGGTAGAAGATTTTTCAATGTATTATTACCAATACTGAGTGTTGTCGCATGATTATTATTATTATTACTGTTACTATTATGAGTGGAATTGGATGAATTCATCGATACATTGTCATTATCTGTGCTGGAACGTCTAGAAAAGCGTCGAGATGTCCAAAATTGTCGACTTAAAGGATTTAAACTACTACTGCTAGCACTGCCACCAACGCCCACATTACTACTACTACTACTGCTACTACTCATTCCACAATCAGCGGTAGTTTTCGAATGTCTCTTCTTAGCGTTCAATTCATGATGATGATAGTCTTGTTCAGTCGAATCTTGTACAATTAAACTATATTTTACACGTTTCATAATTGAATGAATTCGTTGAGCGATGAATTCATAATTATTGCCTGATGTTGAACGTGTGGAATAATCATGATCAACATCCATATCGACTGATGTTGACGGTGTAGTAGTCGATGAATAGGATGGATAAGTTACATTGATAATATCAGCTGTGATAAGATTACCGAAATTCCATAATGCATAATCTTCTAGTGTTGACTGTTGGTGTAATATATAGAGAAACGAGAAGAAAAAATACAGATTTTATGCGGTTTTTTTTTTACAAAAAAAAAAGGATTGGTTTACGCATAATTTGCATTACAGTATTATGCAGATTGTAGTTATACTGTAGTGCCTCCACATATAGTATTCCAGTTCGCTTACATCTGATTTGGTTAACAGCCCTTTCGATTAATTTATTTAACCAAGCCATAATTTGTATTGCAACAATTTATATGTACCATTCGTTCTTATTATTGTCTGGTTTGTATGATGAGCTCACATGACGTGTTCCACTTGTCATTTGACCTTGTCAATCATTCGTCGCTTTTATTCATGTGTGCCTATTTCGCTTGTCGCATGTCTACCATATTTTTGTCTGACTATAAATTCTTAGTCATGCTCCATCTCTTGAAGTTGACTCATTAGCCTTCTCCAATTCGCTTCGCCTATTCATTCGCTCCCTTCCCCCTTTTGTTCGCAGTATAATCCTAGGAGTTGGCTCATTAGCCTTCTCCAATTCACGTCGATTCATGCCTTTTTATTCACTGCTTCTTCGCTTCGCTTTGTGGTGTGTCCCAAATAAACGTATGCAACACACGTATGCATCACACAAATTAATGAGTTTATGTAAGGATCGTGACATTGCCTCGAAGGTAAAAATGAGGTAGTTCTCTTAGACGGCCATACTTCGAACCTTTAACTTGTAGGTTTAATTCATAACACAGTGAGGCAACATCAAGAGATGCTGTCAAACAGTAATTGGTGAGCAATATTAAGCTCATACGCAATTTTTCTTATCAAGATTTTGGAGCCGATGTGCAGCATTGGCTTGGAATGCAGGTTTTTCAGCTCCCTTAGGTCGATTGTCTTCCGTACCCACCAGCGCAGTTTAAACCACCGCACACTCACCGTTCATCCCCCCCAAAACTACATAAACAACATTCATGCCCCTAAAGGCAGTGAGCAAGACATTCCTATCAGTGGTTAAATACGCTTAGTGATATGAAATCATTCGGAGAGGAAGAGCTAACTCTTTCCATTCTCGGACATACCAGGGCATATAGGTAGGCGAATTCTGGAGGGTTTCTGTTGGAGATGTTAGATCCCCAGAACTCGCTTGATTTTATTTATTTATTCATGGACTGATCAGTTAACCATGAGATTACATTTCCCACCAAGGAAATCCTTGGTTGTGATTGGTTACTGTGTCATTTTAGTGTGTTATTTTTGTGACTCTCCCAAGAACGTCTCTATAGAGTATAAATAAATGCAATTTGAGTGCTTGCACTCATTATGTGCTGGTTCAAATCAAAATCGATTCAAGTTTTCACAAAATAAAAAATTATTTCAGTGCATATATATATATACAACATACCGTATTCTGCAAATGATCAGTCATGATTGATTTCTGATCATTGAAATTCGATGAGAATAATGGACCCAGAATGTAATCATTCACATCAGATGACATATCTAACCAACGAGACAAGTTATGTAGCCATGAACTTAATGGTTGAAAATGAGCATGATTATTGTTAATATTAGTAGTAGTAGTGGTGGTAAGGGGAGTTGTAGCAGTCGAACCAAGTTGATGAACTGATGATTGATCATGATTGATCGATGATAATAATCTTGATTGTAACCATTCAATAGGGATGTCTAAATAAATTGGACCCAACATTGGTAAATCCAATGTTGAAATACATTTACATAATGGACAACGAAATTCAAATACAAGCATGGATGAATTACGTCTGTGAAAGAAAAGAAAAGATAGAAAGTTGTAAAATAAAAGTCATTCAAAAGAAATGAGAGAAAGGTTTGGGTCGTTGGTTGAGATTATAGAGATATAAAGCGATAGATATATGAATGGTTCGGTTGTGACCAGCTCGGTGTCAAGTGATGTTATTGGTATGGGGGCGGATATCACTTACCGGGTTGCCCACACTGTGAAAGTGTATTTCTACATAAGGAAAGTTGAAAGAAAATCGGATTAGCGTTGGTCATAGAGACCTGGGAGCGTCACCGCAGAACCCAAAGTGGCAGCTGTTAGTGGCCGGTCACTCACGGCTTTTTAATGGCAAGTTTTCACTGTGTGTTGGCTCCGCACTTTAAATGAGGATGAAAATCCGTGGTTCGGGTGAGATGTGACATTTTTAGAATCGACGTTTTTTAACCCCCTACTTCCTTCTTACAAGGCAGTATCGCTGCAGATGCTGGTTGTCCAAGAGAGCTACCTTACTGCTGTCACGACCCTCCATCACAGTCAGCAGTACGACATCGCCCTCAGACCTTAAGTTGCTGCTTTTGGTCTCATCGTTGTCCAGTCGACCTGCTTGTCATGATGGTAGGACCTGCAGGAACCTGTACTCCAGCCAATATAACTCGGTTGAGTCAACATAATAAGCAGGTCCGACCACCATGTCAGGATAGAAGCTGCAGTCGGAGCATTCAAAGAGAATAAGTAAATACGAAATACTCCAATCGAAGCATACCAAAAACCAAAACGATACACAGGTACGAAGTATTCAAAATAATTCCACATGGAGTTCACCTACTTTGGTCAGGGAAAGTCATAATACTCGTTCTCTATAGAAGAACAGTTTTTAACCCTGACCCATATATCGTTACTATTTTCTGAGAGACAGATAACTGGCCTGCGCCACAAGTTACGCTACGTGGCAGAAGCCGGTCGAACCTTTTGTACCTGTGCTCAGAGTTCGTCACACACCAGGCCATCAGCACTCCTAAAATAACTGAAGCGTTCAAAACTCAAAAACTACTACTCTTCCCTATCACTATATTTCAGGTGCCAATGCACACCGATCCTGAAGCAATATTTTGTATTGCGAGGAGGCGAGTCTCACTCCTCTCAACATGTTTGCATTTTGTCAACGCCTTCACCAACTAGAACTATACATCATCTGTGTATTTTCTAAGTCCACCTTCCAGGGGGTGGGACGCCAGAAAGTGACAATCGCCCTCATACCCGTAACACCCGATCGAAGCTGCTACCTTGACGTGATGTTTGGGCTTGCCTATCGTGATGACCCGACCGAGGTATATTGGCTGGAACATATGTTCCTGAAGGTTCTACCATGCCAAACAGGTCCATTGAAGAACGATCAGACTAAAAGCCACAACTCAAGGTCTGAGGGCGAAGTCGTACTGCTGACTGCACAAGAGTGTGACAGCAGTAAGGTGTTTCTCCCGGACAACCAGCACCTGCGGCAATGCTACTGCCTTCTCACAAAGAAGGAAGGGTTAGAAAAGGTCGACCATAAAAATGTCACACCTCACCCTATATTACGGCTTTCCGTCTCTGGTGGTCATGGTGCCCACTAAGCGCTTTCAAGCGCGGAGCTAACCCTCCAAAAACTTCTCATCAAAAGGCCGTGCGTGACCGGCCTGAAGCAGTTGTCCCTTGGTTTTTGCAGTCACGCTCCCAGGTCGTTAAGATCAACGTTATTCTACCCCGTTTCTAAGTCCATAAGTGAATCTCCTGGGATAGAAAGTCACCTGTAGAGTGAATAGTTAGACGCGATGTACGTAACACATCTCTAGAAAGCAGGTCAGTGACGACGAATATCACACTTTTTTACCAAACAGCAAGTAATCCTCCATATTAAATGTGCGTTTTTTAAAAAAAAGCAGAAAACAACACTTACCGATTTAAATTATCCACTCGACCTTTAATTTGTTTAGCATATTTTGTTTTACATGTTGCATGCATTGGATGTGAACAAAATGTGAAAAATGATCCTTCCTCAGCGATTGGATCACGACTTGAAACTAACGGACGTGGATGCCAACGATCTAATATAATGGAATGATTCATTTCATCTTGATTAGTGAATAATTGATCAATTAAACCTGGACCGAGTGTATCTACAATGATTATTATTATTATTATTATTATCATAACAAAATAGATTTCATTGCACGACTATAATTTGTTAAGATATTCATCAAATATCATAAGAGAATTATTATTGGTCAATTCCTATTGGTTCATTCCTACTGGTCCATTTTATGATCGTCCTAGATATCAATGTTGTTTCTCATTGGTCGTCTTAACTGTCAATGTCACAGACTTCGATACTGTTTCCTTATCGACCTAAATGAATAAATACGCATCATGTGTAACGTTCTATGAGATGGACCCGGTTACGGATCCCTAGTCGGTGGTTCTGACTCTCTTCTGGACTCGGACCTTGTACTTTCTGAATGGTTGTAGAATACATGTTCTACTTCATATCAAGCTTTCTTCTTATTTTTACTCAATATGGCGGTTGGGACACTCAGATAAGGGTATGACGTCGTGTCGCCGGATCCTCGCTCTCGTTTTTTTCCGACTAAGGTAAACGCGTAATAATCCAAGCATATTAAATTACCTGTTTAGATAAAAAACACTTTGAGCATTAGTCCGACAAGACTGGGCTTGATAGTTTTACAAATTAATTTATTCAATTGATCAGGGTTTGACATTAACATTGTTGGATGCCAGCCAGCTGAAGACCGAAGATCTTAAGTTCGACGAATGCTGCGAGTTGCAGGAGTCGTGAGTGAGCATTGCCATACTAGGACGAAGAAACGGCCGTCTTTTAGTGCTTCCAGATTTCTAGCAACAATCTAAAAATGATTCGTTCATTCATGATTTCAATGAAGTTACAATATTTAAGTATCTAACGTAGTTTACCCGAGGACCGGACACGAAAATTTCCAACATGTAGTTTAAGGTGTATGCTGTTACAGGTATGAATGTGCATGTCATTTTTCGGTTTCCCACACCGTGGAAGATTCAGTCATAGAACGTTGGCAATATGCAAATTCATACTCAAATTATAATTATTATTGGTAAAATTACGTCAATAATTGGAAGCAGACATAAAAAGAATGAACAGCGACTAGATAGAAAAGAAAGGAAGGTCCAGGATAGAGTAGGTCGATGGCCTATGCTCCATCGGGGAGTACGTAGAGTGCTGTGACATCAGTCAAACAATATCAATATCAGTGTATGGATAAACTGTCCAGCCTATCATCCTTTATAGGTATACTGACGCTAGAATTATGCAATGATCCGCTGGATTGGTTAAAAAGTGCTTCAGCTAACAATCAAAAACTGTTAAACGACAAGGCTTATGGAAACACTTTATTTACGACCATATTCTGGTCTGGATAAGCATGTTCAAACTACCACACCAACACCGAATTGCCTACTCAAACATAAACACCGTACACAGAGATTAGATTATGTTATAAATGAGTCACAGTTTCTTTTTCACGCTAAATGACTGTTGGGGATGTTAGATCCCCAAAACTCGCTTAATAAGTGCCTTATTTTGGATTTCACGTTTGCCAGCATCGGCCGATCAGTTGACCTTGAGATTTCATTTCCCACCCCAGGAAAAACCCAGGGCTGTGATTGGCTGCTGTGTATTTTAGTGTGCTATTTTCTTAACTGTGTCTATGATGTTTAAATAGACGAGAGTTGTGTGCTTGATTGTGTACTGTGATTGCTGGGTGTTTGTAGAATATACTTTCTACGCCTTATCAAGACTTCTGTCTTCAGCTTGGGATTCAAAGTAGCCTACGTGGACGTTGGTTCATTGTCTCGTTCACGTTTATCGACTAAGGTGAACTCGTAATAGCTTCAAGTGTAGTACCTAGTGACGAACATAAAAATGACCAATGACAATTTACTTTCACACTGGTCACACATCTGAATCATTACCGGACTTATAGGAATCTCATTCAAACAATTGTGTTGCGCGCTATTTATAAATAGTGTATGACGTGAGTGTAAACGTAATGTCTGGCAGCAGAAGATGGAGGAAGATTAAGAAAGGAAGAGTGGGAACACAATGGAATTTGTATGAAATGCATGAACAGTGAAATGTCAGAGAATGGATTGATGATGGATTGATATTTTGCAAATTAACCGTTTACGATATGGTTTTCCTATTTTTTCTGAGTAACTCTGTAATTTGAGATAAATACGATTCGGTTACCTTCACCTGTGTTCTCCTTCACTACACAATGACATACGTAATTCATCTTTAAAAAAACAAAACAAGAAACAAGCGAGAAAAAGCTTTGCATACTTTTATCTGTCAGTTCAGTAGTAGCAGTAGTAGTAGTAGTAGTATCTTTTGGTACTTCTAAACATTGTATACCGGATAATAATTCCGGAATTATACGAAGTCCCATTCTCGATGAACCGGCACATGTAGCTGCAGCTGTTGTTGATACCGATGCCAGAAAAGGTATAAGCTGAAAGTAAAAGCACAAACACACAGAGAGAAGTAAAGAATAAGACGATTGACACAGTAAAAATATGAACGAATGAAATGTAATAGAGAAGACAATGAATAGTTTAGGTTGAATAGACTAAAATATCGAATATCCTAGGTACAGTCAGTCAGTTTCAACGTAGAAATTCGTAGGTATGTATATGTGTTCATGTTGTCACACCACATTAACACAGAGACGCAAATGTCAAATCAAATACCATAGTGATAAACATAGTAGAGGTATTAATGGTAATGAAGAAGACTAGGGTTTGAAGATATTATTCAATAAGTATAATTAAGTGAGATAAGGTTAGGAAGACAAAGATAGAGGTGCTGACGAAGCCAGAAGATTAGTATTTGACAAAGCAAAACGAATGGATGCACTTGCGCCATTGCAAACTATTTTGAGCCATGTCAAACAAGGTCTCTAACCATAGGTGAATTTCGTCTCGCGGACCCCAACTAAGTAGTCTACACCTATTGACACATGACTTAGTCCAATTGTCAATGACTTCATGGATTTGTGCCATTTTTTGTTCTGGCCGCCCCTACCTTTCGTCCAACCTACTCCTACATCACAAAACATAGCTCCTCGCGGCAGTCGGTGGATGAGCATTCGTAACATATGTCCCAACCACTTCAACTGATGAAGTCTGAATACTTCATCTATATCCTAGCTACAAGTATATTGAATAATATTATTGACATATAAGCAATAAAAACTCTAACATCTGCAAAATATGACTTCACGGACTTGTGCCACGGTTCAGTCCGGCCACTTCCCTGGTCAACCTAGTAAGCAATGCTGGTATTAGGATACGGCTGATAGGTAAGTATGGCAGATCTATTGGCTAATTTCCTATCCAATCAGCGCCTGATCAAAGCTTGGAAAACAGGATAGAAAATTCTCGTATTATTAGCTGCATGCTGATTGGTTAAATCTAATCCAGTCGATCACGTGAATTTCTATCCAGAAGCTTCTCATGTAAAGGATATAAATAGACTAGCGTTGCCTTCTGGCCTTCGCCATCACCTCTGGCTTCTTATTCCTTGCTATTTTGGAATATAATCTTTTCCTGTTCAACTGTGTTTTGATTTTGGTGGACTTGTCCAGTGTTTTGCGGTCAGAGAATACTAAGCAATAAGATTTAGCCGAGAATTATCTTAAGCAAGCGTTACAACAAATGCTTTCACCAGGCTGGTCAATGGAATGTAGTGCAACATTTGATAACTTTCAATCGAAAACTACTTGATAATATAATATAATATATACACTAGTGTATAATGATTACTTGATTTTCGTCACCATGAACAGAGTAGGATTTATCATGGTGACGATCGATGGTTGTTGTTGAACAACACATGGAATCAACCATGTCAAGATCTGAAGATAAACGTTTCACCACAGACATTGTTACAGGACCTTCTAACCAACTAATACCATGTGATGATAATACAGATGATCGGCATACATGTGCAGCCATAACCATACGACTAGATGCTTGTTCGGCTACTTCTTCCTATTAGAACAGAATAATATAAATAATAATAATAATAATAACGATAAAAGCATTGAAGTAATCAACCAATAAAAGTAAGAACAATGTAAAGTTAATCTATGTTACAGACTGTTATTATAATGGACGATGTTTGTGGTGGTGTTCCGTTCTCTGAACTGGGGATATTTTGGTTGTGGAGCTTTCATTGGTCTTCTTCTGAACAACAACATCATCAGCAGCATAAACTTCAGATAGAAGAAGTGAAGTATTCGAATTTCTCCATATTTGACCTGTAGCTTGTTCTGCTAACCTCGATCTTGATTGGTGGTTGTTGTTGACATTAAACCTGTCGTTGTTTGCTCATTTGTTTTGATTGCTAATTGGTGTTCACGTAAACGAAGCTGGAGAGGCCGTCCACTTTGTCCTATGTAACACCTATGAAACACCACCACTATCATCCACCTGAGCTACAAGTTTTCTCCACCATCTTAATGGACGATGTATAAATAAGGGAATTTATGATTGATATTTGATATAAATTAATATAAAATACTTGATTCTGAATGAGTAATTTAAAGGATAAGAAATTGCCACCTTACTATGTACGATCTTTAGTATTGGTTTCAATAATACTCCAAAGCCTAACTAGAGCTCGTGAAGAACAGACTTGAGAAAAAAACCCAGGTTGGATTTCGATCTGGATGTGGATGTATAGACCACATTTTCACATTACGACAGGTCATAGAATAAAGACACACGTTCAGACACCCCACAATAGTAGTATTTCTCGATCTTAAAGTGGCATCCGATTCTGTCGGTCCTGAGGTTCTGTGGCAGTGTCTGTCATTGAAACGCGTACCAAAGAAGTACATTACCCTTATACAAGCTCTCTACTCTAAAACTACTGGTCGGGTAAGAGCTTATGGCAAACTGTCACCGGAATTCTTTACTTCAAGTGGTGTCCGTCAGGGATGTCCACTCTCTCCATTCTTGTTTAATTTTATCATAGACATGCTGCTATATGTAACCTTATCCTCGTCTGAATTTTCGCGAGTAGGCCTTCTACCAGGAGCCTCGCTTACTGACTTAAAATATGTCGATGACCTAGTTCTATTTGGTGAAGACGCTGACAAAATGCAGAGTCTTCTGACCACCCTAAGCAACAATGCAAGCATGTTCGGGATGCGGTTCTCACCCTCGAAATGCAAATTATTACTTCAAGATTGGGTTGCATCAGCACCTGAACTAGTAATAATAGAGAGTAAAAGTAGTCGAGCTTGTAGACCGCTTCACTTATCTTGTCATTCTCATCAGTGCTGATAGCCTGTTGTCTGATGAAATCTTAGCTTGGATACAAAAGGCTCGATTGGCTTTTGTCAACCTATGGCGCAGGTGAGATATCCGCTCGCTAACCAAAGGACGAGCGTACTGTGTAGTTGTTCGCTCTGTCCTACTTTATAGCTGCGAAACAGTCATAGAAATACTCCGTGACGTCCCACAAAAAGTGTTTCTCGACATTAGGACGGCATTTAACTCTACGGAGCATTATTTAAATATCCTGAGACAATCAAGTAAGCAATGCCAGTGTTAGGAAAATGGTACTAGTTAAGGATGACAGACCAATAGTTAGAGTAGTGAATCTTTATCAATTGAGGTAGTTAGGACCTGTGCTACAAATGCCCAACCACCGACGAATCAGATAACAGTTACGCTCTATTTACACAGCCAATTAACATATCCTCCTGCGGTCCCCTTTCGAGGTTACTGTCGGGCCCAAACCCAGATAAAGGAGGCAGGCTTGGGCATGGAATTAGCAATCCTATTCCATAGAAAACTAACTCACTAAAAATACATTAATCAGAAACTGGTCGACGACCTATGCTCCACTGTGGGGGAGGCAACAGGTGTGTGTAATTAAGTAAATAATTAATACACAACCAACTTAACTTACTAAGCATAAATTACATGTGACTAATTCTGTATTTTGCACTTCCATTCCGCCTTGTGAAGATAAAGAAGAATTAGGGAACAGGTATGCAGCAGCACTGCCTAACGATCTTGTCGGGCCAAGTGCACATTGTTGTACAACAGTAGATTGTGTAGTTGTTGATTGATTCAAATTGTCATTGTTTACTTCAGGATAATCAATATCCATTAATTCAGCCTGGAAAAATGCAAAATGCAAAAATAAATACACATAAAACACAATCACACTGGATGATGTGGTATTGTGGTGCGTGCTACTTATAAGTAGTATATGACGTGAGTGTAAACGTAATGTCTGGCAGCGGAAAATGGGGGAAGATCAAGAAATGAAGAGTAGGAACACAATGGAATTTGTATGAAACGCATGAATACGTGAAATGTCAGACAATGGATTGATGATGATTGATTGAAGATTTGCAAATGAACCGTTTACGATATGGTTTTCCTATTTTACTGAGTAACTCTAATTTTCGCTAAATACAATTTGGTTGTCCTCACCTGTGTTCTCCGTCACTACAGTATTTTCAAGTAGTCGACTCTGTAACAATTATAGTCATAAGTTTAGTATCCCGTATTCAGTTGTGCAGAAGCTTGAGGATGAGACAAACAATGGATGATGCAACTGTGCCATCATGTCATTCAAAGTCTCTAACCACCGGTTCCGATTATCTCGACAACCATAACCAAGTGAGTCTACACCTGGGACTGCACAAAGTGTATGTTAGCGTATATAGATAGTATGGGCTCCAGCATGTAGAATTTATGTGCGTAACTATATGCAAAGAGTATGCCTGTAGGCGCGAAAGAAAGAACGTCACCTGAATAGTCTGTCCTATTCATCAAGAGTAAATAGAATGCTTATGCCTATATGTAAATCATGAAGCGCTTAAGCAAAAGTTTACGTACCAGTGATATTCATGTAACGCATGAAAGATAGTCAATGGGAGTGGAGACCATCTACCCCCTCAAAAGGCGGTTGTAACTCTGAATCTACCTAGCGACGTATTGATGAAAATTTGTGTGTTGCTAGTGTGCGAGTAATGTATGAACGACCTACAAAATAAGTATTCCTAATATGTACGTCATGAGATAATATGACGTGTAAACTCATGTGTTCCAAATGTGTATGTAACGAAAGCTTGCTGCTTCTGATGCGATACCCTGCGGAAAGATCTCTGATGTAACGGTTCTAAGTTTCTGTAACTCTGTGGACAAAACCTCCGTCTCCAGAAGCCAATGTGAACATTGCTTATAGCTGTACAACCTGATGACTAATAATTCCCTTAACAAACATCCCTCTATGATAAAATATTAACATCATCTGACAACAAAACTGTAAATATTTTGCAATCAAAATAAAAATCAATAACCTACTTCATTCGTGGTAGCTTCATTTTGTGTCAAAGAATCCATAAAATTTCTTTGCATATTTGACATACGTGCCATAATTCGTGCACGTCGTGCTCGTGCTTTCTCTGCACGATCTTGTTTGATTTGTGCATTGGATAATTGATAAGATGGAGATTCCTATGAGAGTATAGGTAAATAAACACAAACACACAGAGTAACAATTGAGTACTTTAATTCAAGAGAAAAACACAACTAAGTTATACCAGTGAAAATTCCTATAAAGATATTTCGTGAGAAGATGAACAGGACAGAGGGAAGAATTCGTCACATGACAGACACATTCACCCAAGGCAGTATGTCATCTATAACTGAATAACTGATAAATTTACATCATTACAGGGAATAGACAAGAATACTCGTAGCTTCCTACATGCAAATGCAAACCTTTATATTTCTGGGCAGTATCATTGATGAGTAGGGTGGAGCTGATGCAGATATGATGGCACGGATCGGTAAAGCAAGGAAAGCATTTCTAGATCAAGGGAACGGTCGTGACTAAAAATAAATGTCAGCCAACACCGAAATAACAATTTACAATGCAAATGTGAAGACAGTTCTACTGTATGGGGTGGAAGCTTGCAGAACAAGATACAAGTGTTCATTAACAGTTGTCTATGCCAAATACTTCAGATTCCTTGGCCAGACACCATCAGCAACAACCTGCTGTGGGACAAAACAAACCAGATTCCAGTGGAGGAGGAAATCAGGAAGAAGCGGTGGAAGTCGATAAGACATATATTTAGGAAAGCAACTAACTGTGTCACAAGACAAGCCCTCACTTGGAACGCTCAAGGCCAAATGAAAAGATGAAGACCAAAAAGCACATTACGCCGAGAAAAAGAGAAAGACACGGGAGGAATGAACAAAAATTGGACAGAACAGGAAAGGGAAGCCAATGACAGATTAGGTTGTAGAATTCTGATCAGCGGCCTATGATTGATTGGGGATAACCGATAAGTTCGAATGATTCGATGAAATAGGAAAGATTACAGTTACATCACTGCTATTAAAGCAATCTAAATTAACAAGAACCAAAGCATGAAAAACAGATTACATTTTGCCAAATCAATTTTATTTGTGTGTATGAAAACTGTTATAATGCAGCTAGCTACGTATAGCTATTCAGTCCTAGCGACGTCCAGTTCAAATATCCCAGTACGACCCAAGTACTATTTCCAAATCTCCTATATATCAGAACGCAACACCGTGGGATGGAGTTGTTTATTGGGTCGAGTACAGAAGAGAGGTAGGCAGGAAGAAACGGAATCGGATTCATAAAGGCTTACAGATAATGAGTAGTTATACCTTTTGGTCGAATAGGAAAGAAGCGTCAAAGCTCTGTAACATTGACAGTTTAGGACGACGACCAATAGGAAAGAACATTTGAAATGACATTGACAGTCCGGATAATCCAATAAGATGACAAGATTGAAGTATTTGACTTTGACAGTTAAAACGACCATAATTTTAACCAATAGAAATCGACCAATGGGATTACACTTCTAAAAATAGTACTCTTAGGATATTTGGTGAATATTTTAACAAAAACACACAAAGAATTCACCAATAACAACAGATCTATAATGAACTTACCTCAATTATTTCACCAGATTCCGATATCTGTTTACCAACAGACGGTTGTTCATCTGACATAGTTTGTACAACTTTATTCCAATAATCTAAAGTCCATCTATCATAAAATATAGAGATCAAAAATACAACAAATAAAACAAAACATGATTAGTAACTCCGATATTCTTCCTACCTAACCTTTTGAATTATTCATCGCCTCTATCTTCCGCATTCTAAAGTTATTTCACTGAACTATATACATACTTCTTGTAACTG